GGGAAAATAATTTATCGCCTCCACTATACGCGGAGACACTTTTGGACTCTATCGCGAGTTTAAAGTGAAAACTGGACAGTTCCATGGAAATAGCGATAGAACATGCAAGAGGCTTGCGACGTCTCGTCTGTGAGAAAAGGGTCGCTATATGGAAAATAATTTAACGCCTCCAAGGACGCGGAGACACTTTTGGACTCTATCGCGATTGGAAGTGGAAAGCAAAACTGAAAACTGGAAAGTTCCATGGAAATAGCGATAGAACAGCAAGAGACGTCATCGTCTCGTCTGTGAGAAAAGGGTCGCAGAGTGGAAAATAATTTATCGCCTCCAGGACGCGGAGACACTTTTGGACTCTATCGCGAGTGGAAAGTGAAAAACTGGACAGTCTCCATGGAAATAGCGATAGAACAGCAAGAGGCTTGCAACGTCTCGTCTGTGAGAAAAGGGTCGCAGAGTGGAAAATAATTTATCGCCTTATTCAGGACGCGGAGACACTTTTTTTGGACTCTATCGCGAGTGGAAAGTGAAAACTGAACAGTCTCCATGGAAATAGCGATAGAACAGCAAGAGGCTTGAACTGTCTCGTCTGTGAGAAAAGGGTCGCAAAGTGGAAAATAATTTATCGAAATACAGGACGCGGAGACACTTTTAAACTCTATCGCGAGTGGAAAGTGAAAACTGGACAGTCTCCATGGAAATAGCGATAGAACAGCAAAAGAAAAGGGTCTGAACTGTGGAAAATAATTATCGCCCATCTGAACATCTGTGATGGCGAAAAGGTCGAAGAGTGAAATAAATAAACAGCATCGCCTCAAAAACGTCTGAACTGGTGGAAAATATCGCCATTTCCATTGGAAAGTGAAAACTGAACATTCTCCATGGAAATAGCGATAGAACAGTGAGAGAACAGCAAAACGTCTCGTCTGTGTGAAAAAGGGTCGCAAAGTGGAAAATAATTTATCGCCTCCAAGGACGCGGAGACACTTAAACTCTATCGCGAGTGGAAAGTGAAAAACTGGACAGTCTCCATGGAAATAGCGATAGAACAGCAAGAGGCTTTCGAACGTCTCGTCTGTGAGAAAAGGGTCGCAGAATAGGAAAATAATTTAAAGGTCTGGAACTGGTTTGGAATTATCGGATTGGAGCCCATCTGAACATTTGCCATGGAAATAGCGATAGAAATAGCGATAGAATATTGAGAAGCTTGTAAACTTGTCTAAGCAGTAAAAAGTCTGAAGTGGTGGAATTAAGGATTGGAGCCCATCTGAACATTTGCCATGGTAATAGCGATAGAGTAGCGATAAGATTGCCACATGCGTCTGTGGGGTAAGGAGCTGTAAAATGGAAAAGAATTCGTCCTACAAGATCTCATAAATCATTTGGGATCCTAGCAAAGGATTGGGCAGCTGCAACCCAGATATGGCAGTAATAATCCATTTTTGGTCTACTTTGAATCTTGCATGGAAGAAAGAGTCAGATAATTCCTGAAACGATAAAAGACGCCGGCCATTTTTCGAGCACATTTAATAATGGGTCGTATAGATGAGTTTCACTTGGGGTCTGGAGTTACCCAATGTCATCAATCGATGTTTAAAGCATGAAGTTTCGTTGAGAGTACAAGCGTTAATTGCGACAGGAGAATGTTTAGCAAGGCAGTTTTCCCGAATGAGCTGTCGGAGATCGATCAGCGAAGAGAACAGCTGTTAGGCTGTGAACATGTTGACCTATTTTGGAGGTGCTTTCCGTAAGTTGTGGCATTGAAACTTTTCACTCTTATGGAACGCTTCTAGACTCATCTCGTGGGTGGGGGTGGATATTTGTGGAACTTATACTGTTTGATATTTTGAGATAAATCATTTTTAATTATCCCAAAAGCACATCGGTCAGAAATTTTGAATTTGTAAATGATTTCGAGAATATGCTTCTGAAGAATTCTTCTTGGTATTTTGAACCAAATCAGGTTTTGCTCAAAGTGGCATTTCTTGAGCACTCAGTGAGAATCAGACTCACATGTAAAACCATGTAAATCAGCTAACTTAACATTACTTTATCCAAGTCACTCAATTAGACTATATATATATATATATATATATATGTGTGTGTGTGTGTGTGTGTGTGTGTGTGTGCGTGTGTGTGTGTGTGTGAAAATATATAAAAATAGAAAAGAACTCGTTAGGTAAACAATCCAAGGTTCTTTAGTATTTTCGTTTTTATTTTTTAAAAACAGTGCTCCATACAAAAATAGAGCCTAAATTATAATTATTTATTTAAAAATATGATTCCTTCGCTACATAAGAGTTCTCATGTTTCAAACCAAGAGCCGAAAACTTCAATTTGAATTAAATTGAATTAAAGTACCAAGCTCTGTTCCATCTTCAAGCGAAATTTTTGAAATCATTCCAAAAATTTCGCTTGAAGATTACTTACTTGGTACCATAATTCAATTTAATTCAAATTATTATACGGAATCTTTCGGATCTTTGAAACATGAGGACTCTTATGTAGCGAAGGAATCATATTTTTTAAATAATTATATATATATATATATATATATATATATATATATATATATATATATTATCAGGTGTCTACATGTCCGTGAATAGAGAATTCACACAGTTGTGTGGAAATGGTCCGATACGAATAAAGATCACTGCGTACGCAAGAAAATTTCAGGTACTCTAACACATAGGGCAGGTGTGAACAGCACGCTATTTTTTAGTAAACATCCTTGGAGAATAATTCTTAAAGCAGACGCCTCGAGTTTCTGGTAGATTATTCATCATGCCAGTAAATTTCGGAATTTTTGGCCGGATTCATTTGATTATCTTGATTCAGACTATTGTCCTCATCTTTGTTGCCATATTTATCAAAACGTTTCAGCCACTGTACGCTCAGGCCTTCTTCAGGTGGTTGTAATATCGAACTGAACCCTTTATTTCGCTCACTGGGGTAGACGGCTCTAGTTCCACGTGCAATGTCTAATGGATGGCAGTTATCTCCTGTTAATTCCCCTCTCCAAGTTCTCCATCGCCTTAACCAGGTATTGAACTCCCACTCTTTGGGTCCTGTCACTGGATCTAACCAACGCCTTTATGCACTCTGTATTTTTTTTACCAAAGCTCATATTGCAATTTTCTTTGTTATTATGGTTTTTTTCTGGCACTCCTTACTACTTGTTCCCATATTGCATTCATTTCTATGCTTGGTCGACTCAGGAGATTTTTGTGGCTTAGCATATGTGCTAATTCCTCAAGTTTACGAATTTTTCAATGATGTTCTTTGTCTATGATCTCCCTTTTCTCTCCATATGTGGTCAGCCACACCTGATTTTTACACTTCCCCTCGTGTTACAGGTGTTCTTGAAGTCTTATCTTAAGAAGGCGGCCTGTCTCCCATTTACACTGTCTTTAGTCATGTTCTCTTCTATGGAGCGGTCTTACTCGGGAGAGATATCTATCATCCAGCTTTTGAAGGTTGTCCTGATGCTATATGGACCACAGTTCCTTTGTATTTTCTCTGATAATCACATAAGGCAGGCAGACTTTTCTGAGTGTTGTCCTCCTCTTGTACCCGCCTATCCCAATTTATTGGGGCTGCTGCCATGTATCCAGGCTAGTTGTTACGTTGTAGGGTACTATTTATACTGACCAATTTATCTAATGTCTCTGGGTCACCACTTATGAGTTTTGCTCGGTGTTGTAAGCAGCGGACGATCCCTTTCTTTACGCTGTATCGATGGTGGGAGCTGAAAGATTTTCGCGGGTTATCAGAAAACTCTATTGTTCCATATGCTTTTTTTCTATTACTAGTGTTCCTCAGTCTCTTGTTTGACGCCATTGTTTGAGCTTGTCTACTAGATGAGTTCCGCATGCAGCAGGACAATACACTTGTCAATTTTCTTCGACTAGTGCACGATTTTGGCGGGTGGGGGGAAGAACATTGCCTAACTCACGTCTCTCGCAACCACTAATGTCCATATTTTGTTGCCTATATATTCTGGTCTTTTCCCGATTCTAAAACGGGGGTTAAAAAGTCGGAAACAAGATTCAGTAATGCCAGAAGAAAAATCAGCAGATGGAAATGGCGCAGGGATAAGTGCGTGAATTTCTAATAGGACTACTTTGAATAAGATTAAGGCTCAACTTCCATAGGTAGGCTTATTAATTTTAAACGTATTTATGCATTCTGGACTGACCTAAGTACAGACATTTATACAAATACAGAGATAGAATATAGAGATGTTATCTAATCTTAATTGCAGAGGAAGAAATTTATAGAAAGTTTAGATTGTATTGCGACAGTCTTCACGGAGGAAAGGGTCTGTCTGGCTGCGCTATAAAAATCAGTCTTTGAGATCTCTAGCTGATTTGACCACGAAGAAGCACTCTCCATATGCTTACTAACACACACACAACACACGCACAGGCATACACACACACAAATATATATATATATATATATATATATATATATATATATATATATATATATATATATATATATATACGAGCGGACATAAAGACTAAAAAGTGTTAGCTATCATTTTTTTATCTAACATTATTTAAGTTTTCTGTTATCACACAATACTTTTCGTCATTACATCTCTCTCATCATTTCAATCTCTCTCCCTCTGTCTTGTAAGCGAAATAGATAGATAGATAGATAGATAGATAGATAGATAGATAGATAGATAGATAGATGGATAGAAAAGAGACTGAGATTGATAGATAGACTGATAGGAACAGACTGAGATAGATAGATAGATAGATAGATAGATAGATAGCAACAAGATAGATAGATAGCAACAGACTGAGATAGATAGATAGAGGAAATGCTTACAAGTTCTCTGATCAAAGTTTCTATTTCGTAAGATTCAAATTAAAAACAAAGTTTATATTACCAATATTCAACATTACATGTATGATTGGCGCTATACTTTCGTCAAAACTTTAAAAGCCAGCACATTTTTGTGTCAATAAAATCTGTAATAATACTAGATGTCTGCCTGGCCGTCTGTTCAGTTGCCTATCTATCTATCTATCTATCTATCTATCTATCTATCTATCTATCTATTTCAGTCTGTTTATTATCTATCTATCTATCTATCTATCTATCTATCTATCTATCTATCTATCTATCTATCTATCTATCTTGACGTAAACACGCAGACATTGGAGAACTGGTCAGTGCACTTTATATCTTGTTAATCAAAAACAGGTTCTTCTTTAAAACAAACCTTCAGTTCCCCAGGCTTCGTTCATCAAAGCAAAAGTACAAGAATTTGTATATGTAAAGTTGGAAGTTTCCTCAAAGTCTTACATTATGCAATAATGAAACCATCCCATGACTCCTATTCCTAAAATTTCCTCGCTTCGGGCTTTCTTACAACTCCCAAAGTTTCGCACCATACGATCTTATGTAAACACATCGATGTTAACGGAAGCTTCCTCCAGCAGCCCAAAGCCGTCTGCTGTTACGGGTTGGTAGCCTGCTTCTCACTATCATGCCCGTCGTATACATATGCTATGATAACAAAAGGCTACCCCTCTGTAATCTTCTACATCTGGGAAAGGCCATGAATAACGCAAATAGGATTGCGAAATTCGATACCGCTGCAAGTGTAACACGTAAATTTGGCTATTCGAACCGTCATATTGGCAGGATATTCGTAAATGTCTCTCTTTTCCTAATGGCCGCCAACGGAATTCCGGTTGAGGGATTTATAAACATTTACTTTTTTTTTTAATCTCTCGGAGGTGATCACAATTAGATCTTGGAGTTGGGGAGAAATATGTTAGTATCTTTTTTTTTTCTTTTTAAAGTAATAAATCAACACTAACATTGTCCGTGCATGTTTCGACCAGGTCAAGTCGAGAAATTTGGTAAAAAAAAGAACAAAAAAAACCATCCCATATACGGGCGTACATGGAAGTTTTCGTACAGCTTTAACGTTTAACCCGAGGACACTAACCATCAATTAAAGTTACACCACTACTAACCATGGGTATATCGTACCCGATTTTGAAAATATCAAAAAAAAAAAAAAAAAAAATTAAATATAAATCTTTATTTGAAATATCTTATATGCAGGTACTTCAAGCTTTGTATAAGTTAACATTAATAGGAACTAAAAAACATATTATTTAGGTAAGAAAATCAGGTACTGAAAACTGTAATTAAAAATAGGAAAATTTGCGCTGGGTACCATATCCCCATTGTTAGTGTTCTAGAATTAAAGTTCCAATGATTGAACATATTTTCAGAGACTAGTTATCAGGGCTTGGCCAGTACAAATATTGGCTTCCTTAATAGAATATTCATAAACATGGTAGATGCAAGCTTAACCAGATGAACATTATTTACCTGTTACATTAGCAACATTCGAATACGTGTAAAATCCTATTTAGTTAATAATCTAATAAAGTCAGAAACAAGGTATGTTTATCGAGCCTTTCAGTGAGGTCCGTATTCAATAGCATGTTATTTATCATGTAGATTAATCAGTATCACTCCATGCAAGGGAGTCAAGCCGCTAAGACACATGGGGTTACTGAGTGTGGACGAATTAGGAACAGAAATATTAATAATGAGCGAAAAGTGTAAAAAGTAATCAGAAAGACAGTAGATGGCGATTGACATTGCACTTAAACTTTTACAGATTAAAGTTGGCTGGAATGTATGGATCCGAAAGAGAGTTCCGCTGGCTAGAAGTGCGAGAAAAGAAACACTTAGCATAGAATTTACGGTTACATCTAGCTAATTCAAGTGTGAATTGATGAGACCTTACCGCCAATCTCGTACTGCGCTTAAATTCATAAAGTCTAGGTACCATAGAAAAGAGCGATATTTATTTGTAAATATTTACAAAATGTGGCACAAGGCCAAAATGGGGAAAAGGACGGTCTTCATCTGTCTTAACTTTAAACTTAGCTAGCCACAAACACTGACCCAAACATACAAACAATATTCCTTACACCAAAACAACGTATCCTTTCTTACCTTTCCTATTACACTCACCATAATACCTCATTGTCTCTATTAAAATCCTAACTAGTCCCCATATTTACAATTCATTATCTTTCAGGGGAGGGGAGGGGAATAAAACAACAATTTAAAAACGAGCCCCATAGTACCATACTAGTGTCAGAGTAAAGAGCTGTATTTATTCTGTTTAATACAGAAATGTGGCACAAGGCGGTGGGGGGAGGGTGGGACGGTCTTCTTCTGTCTTAACTATAACTTAGCTAGCCACAAACACCGACCCAGACATACCACAATATTCCTAACACGAAAACAACACGTTCTTACTTACCTTTCTTACTACATCCACCATAATACATCATTGTCTCTATGAAAATCCTAACTAGTCCCCATATTTACAATTCATTGTCTTTGGGGGGAAGAAAAAGCAACAATTTAAAAATTTTCTTTTATCCATGCTTCATTTGTTTTCTATAACAAAAACTTCTTCCAATGAGAAATTCTGAACAATATAATACTATATATATATATATATATATATATATATATATATATATATATATATATATAATAGGCATGAAAACAACCTTACGGCAGTGGGAAAGTGATTGAAGACGAGCCGCCAGAATAGGTCTTGCTGATTCTTCTTTGGGTATCTTAAAGTAAATTGTAGGGACACCGGACCATATATGGCAGCAATAATCTAGGTGTGGTCGAATGGTAGACTTATAGATATGTAAGATAGATTCTGGAGATCGAGAAGAAAAACTTATAATCACACTCTTTGAGCGATTCTTTTTCAATCTCCGGAATCGATATTTTAAACAGAATCAGTTTAGTGAATTCAGGAAAAGAAAAAATTTAAAAGAAAAAGGAAGTGAAAATTCTATCTACTGCGAAGATTTTAGGAATCATTTTTATTTTTTTATTTTTGTAACCCCCCCCCCTCAAAAAAAAGAAACGAACAAACCCGAAATTATCTCCGCGTGAAATCGGTAGAGACAACATAAAAAGCCATAAATGAATCGAGATGGAATCATTTTGATATCAGCTCTCGTCTTTGATTAGAAAAATATAGGCTATTAAATACAAATGTACAAACATTTAAGTAATTTACACCAAATAGTACGCATGCGTGTCTGAGTGTGTCACTTTATTACGTTTTTAAATATGTGTGTGTCTCTGGCTATATTTTTATGAGCGTGTCTGTAGTTGTATTTGTGTCTGCGTATGTGTGTGTCTGCCTCAGTGCGTGTGTGTATGCAAACACTTGCATATACATAATCCTATAAACGTATTAACATATGAATCACGATTTGATAAATGGCATTTCGAAACAGAACTCCATATTTTGTGAAGACACATTTTGAATATGTGAAAAACATCTTCATGAGGTTCCGCTGGTAGATTTGAAATTGGCTGCAAGCGTCTGTCCATTTAGCATTAAGTTAATGTTTGATTCTTTTGAACATATTTTCAGAGACTAGTTATCATTAAAGCCAAATGAATTTGTAAAAATATTGGCTTCCAAAATAGAATATTCATAAACATGGTAGATGAATTTATATATATATTAATATATATGAACATTATTTACCTGTTACATTAGCAATATTTCGAAACTTGATTATAACCCTACAATCCCTTAAATAGCTACCCCTTCCTTCCTTTCAAATCTATCTATCTATCTATCTCTCTATCTATCTATCTATCTATCTATCTATCTATCTATCTGTTTTACAGTTCATATCTATGTCATACTGTTCATATCTATCTATCTATCTATCTATCTATCTATCTATCTATCTATCTATTTTACAATTCATATCTATGTCATACTGTTCATATCTATCTATCTATCTATCTATCTATCTATCTATCTATCTATCTATGTCATACTGTTCATATCTATCTATGTTATACTGTTCATATCTATCTATCTATCTATCTATCTATCTATCTATCTATCCATTTCAGTATCTATCTATCTATCTATCTATCTATCTATCTATCTATCTATCTATCTATCTATCTGTCTGTCTGTCTCATACTGTGCATATCTATCTATCTCTCTATATATATGTGTGTGTTTGTGTGTGTGTTATACTGTTCATATCTATCTATCTATCTATCTATCTATCTATCTATCTATCTCAGCCTGTTCCTATCTATCTATCTATCTATCTATCTATCTATCTATCTATCTATCTATCTATCTATTCGTGTTTGTTTACAGGCTCAACTGCACTCAGCTGTTTTTGGTTGATTTATTTATACATTAAATTGATATTAGCAAAATTGTAGTAATTAAAGAAATTTGATCAATTTACTTATCCTATACAACTGATGGTAATATTATAATGTATAAAATTTTTGGATATTCTAAGCATCCTATTAAAAAATATCGAGGTTCTTTAATTTCCAACACATACTTAATACTTATATTTATCTACAACCTGTGATCTAAATGATAAGACCATTTCTATTCTCAGGGCAGAAAATTATTTTTAAGATAATTAAGCAATTATAAAACTCATTATAATCATGAATTTTTTTTGTCAAAATCAGAATCGACCATATCAAAAATTAATAAAAAATGTATTTCTTAAAATTTCATATTTTAAGCTGAATCAACAAATTATTCATCCTTAGCGAGAAACTTTAAGTTGACCAAAACATAACACACACACATGCTCACACATACACATATGTATATATAAATATATATATATAGATATATAAATTAACTATATATATATATATATATATATATATATATATATATATATATATATATATATATATATATATATATATATTAATGTATGATTTATAATTAAAGATGAAAATATTTTCTTTTTTTTTCATCTGCTATTGTATTCCTTGTTTCCTTTTTGAAAACATCATTATAAAAATCTATTTATATTTAAATGCGTTAAATTCTATTGATTTTACGTGTTTTATTAGGCCCTATCGATTTATGTTATATACATATGTATACATAAATATATGTGTCTCTGTGTGTGTGTCTGTGTGTGTGAGAGTACGTGTGTGATAAGAATATAGTTTTATTTCAATATTAACAATTTTTGTATTTTTATATATAAATGTTCAATATATTTTATGTAAATATTCAATATATTAAAAATATTGAGGTCAGGCAAATAAAATTTTATTTTTTTGTCGATCTATTTTCATTCATTTATATCTATCTATCTATCTATCTATCTATCTATCTGGTTCTGTTCATATCTATTTATCTGTTCATATCTATCTGTCTATCTATCTATCTATCTATCTTTTTTAGTCTATTCATATCTGTCTATCTATCTATCTATCTCAAATCTGTTTATCTATCTATCTATCTATCTATCTATCTATCTTTTCTATCTATCATACACATTCTAACACACACAAAAGATATATATATATATGTATTTATAAATGTCCTCAAAATAAAAAATATGCACATATCTTTAAATGAAAATAAACATTTATATTTTTTTTAATATTTATTGCAAACAAGATTAATCTATTTTTAAAATTAAGAAATAATAATATTTATTTTTTTAAAAAGAAGAAAATAAATATTTATTAAACATTAAATGAAATAATAAATGAAATTAAATATATTGGTTTTTGAATGAAATTCAAGAAAATTCAAAAATTATCCAGAAATTTATATATATATATATATATATATATATATATATATATATATATATATATAAATATATATCATATTTTGTTTTAATTTATTCATTTCGTTTATTTGAAATTTTTTGTTCAGTTTTTTTTTCTAATAATTTTTTTATTCATTCAGAAATTAAAAGATAATAATATATTTTTATTATATTAAAAAATATTTCCAGTCTGAAAATGAATATATAGATGTTCACGGAAAAATTATTTCGAAATTTTAATATCTTTAAAATTTTATTTAAATTAAAAAAGGACATTATTAATTTTAGAAAAAATGATTTTTCATTTCTTAAAACTCTCCTGGACTAATATCCTCCTGGAATTATCCCTTTCAGACATGTTTTTTTGGTTATAAAATATATATATATATATATATATATATATATATATATATTATAATATAAATATAATATTTTTTTTTAAAGAAAACATTTCCAATTTTTTTTTTTTTTTAATTGGCATTTGTCAGTTTAAATTTTCTAATCTATAATGAAATCGTTTTAATTCGCCCTAAGTGTTCATCATTTGAAATTTGAACTTTTATATATTTAAAAATTTTTCTCTGATATTGAGCAAATATTTAACAAATTTTAAATATAGCAATTATATTTCTTTATATATATATTTATATATATATATATAATTTAAATATATATCATTATTTCTTGCCCTTATATCTAGTATCAGAATAAATTTTTTTAAAATATTTTGAGTAACAATAGAAAGCAATTAAAAACTTTTTTTTGAAATGGTTTGACTCAATAAACTAAAAATTTCTTTCACTTTTATTGTGATTGAACACACTTTTTTTTTTTTTCGTTCTTAATATTAAAGATTCAACCCTTATCATGTTAAATCCCAAACGAAAAAAAATATGAAAAAATGTATTCTTGAAGATGATGAAGATTGACAAAAAATTCAAAACTTAAAACAGTCAAATAGATGGTTCGTTTTTTTTTAATTCTGCCTCGGCAATTTAAAAAGTCCAATTTGACAAAAAAAGGAAAAAATTATTGAAAGTGAAAAAATTGGGAGGTAGACTTTAAAACTTTCCCGTTTATACGGGTTCTAAGGAATATTTTTACCGAGCCTAAAGGCTTATTTACCCATTTTAAAAAATTATGGCCTTGTGCCACATAATTCCCTGTTTTGGTTTTTGGGGCTTTAATAAACTTTTTTAGATGGCCTGGCTATATAATTAAAAAATTTAAAATAAGGACTTCAACAAATATCTTATTACGATGATTAATCATTTTTAAAGCATATGAGCAACAATGAGGTCTTAGATTCGTTGAAAACAAGGAGGAGGCTTTTCTTAACATAAAAAAAAGGCAGTTGAAGTTTCTAATTTCTGAAGAAAGAAATTTGGAGAATCTGATACTCACGAGTCGAATTAGAAGATAAATTTTAAAAAAAACCAAAACTTTTTTAATTTTTAACCTAATGTTGAACGAGATTGTGCACAGGATCATTGACAAACGTGGTCTGGGGAGGAAACACAGGGAAGGAAATTGCTGAGAGCTGATAAGATAGAAGGATTTTTCCAGCCATTGAAATCGACTACGTTCTGAAAGAACGTGGCATAAAAAATTCAAAAATAAAAATATCATTAGTAAGTTGATACAAAGCTGATTAATATTCAAAAATGATCTTAAATCGTTTATGCTATACAGCATTTGAAAACCTATTTTTTGTAAGTTGTCTTGTTAATTGTTTTGTAACTTATTGTTCTGTGTTCTTTTTAAGTATCCGTTAGCATCGGATACTGATGCTGAATAAATATATTAATCATAATCTTCTCTGTATATCAATTTTTCCAAAAATTTGAAAACCAATTTCCTAAAAACCTTTGTCAAATGAAAACTGTTAATAAAAACCCAGGTTTCTAATTAAAAGCCTTTGAAAGAAATGTTTAATAAATTCTCTTTAACTGGGCTATATATCTGAATTACAGTTTCCTTAAATTTATATTATAATTATCATGGAGTTCAAACGAGAAATTTTTTATTCATATTTTTTTTTTTTTTTTTCTATCATTTTATTAGACGATAAAAATATTACGTTAATCGAGAAAATGCTGGGTAGAAAATGGAACGACAAATAAAATAATCAATCAAATCGAATTTTTCGATATTTTGCAAAGGATTTGTAACAAAAAAAAAAAGAATTTTTGATCCTTTTTATTCCTTTAAAGTTGTCTTGTTAATTGTTTTAAATAAAAAATTGTTCTGTGCTTTTTTTCAAAGTGTATCTTTTTTAGCACCGGATACTTTAATAATAATATATAAATATATTAAGTTTCAGTCTTCATTGGGAATGATCATTCATTTAATAATTCAACACTCAATATAAAGGTTATAATGTCGTCTCAAATAAATCGTTTACTGATTTTCTTACGTTCTTCTACTGACGATTCCAACTGTGTCTTCTTCAAAATTTTTTTAAATGAAAAACAAACATTTATAAACTCAGCGAAATCTAACAGCAGAACGTCATCTTTGTGTGTGACTCATAACACTAAGGATTTTTTGAATGTCCAAATAGTCTTCAACCGGCAATCAATAACATTAATTAACACAATTTTTTTATGTTATCAGTTTTAAAAATATCAAAATACGCAGACGACAATACTATTTAACGAATTTTTTTCAATAGTAAATTTTTAGCATTGCTTATATTTTGTTGAAAAAAAGGACACTTTGCTTTGCCCACATTGTCACTTTTTTTTATTGCTCGTTGTAGGATGAGACTTTGTATTTGCATTATTACAACTATAGTAACGCCGTTGAACAATGCTTTTTGTCAGATTCTATTAATTGTCGATATAAATAACCCGCACTAATTTTATAGTATTTGATCGATAAATACTCAAAATTTATCTCAGTAATCCGTATAGTGAAATAGAACAATTTAATAGCGGTTCCGTAGATAATTAATAAAGACTTTTTGTATGGAAATCGTTTTCCGTTTTAATATTTAATTTATTAATAAAATTAGTATCCGAATATTAAAAGATATTTGAACTTTAATAATTTTCTGTTATTTATTATAATATGATAAAAAAAGATCCAAATAGTAATCTGTAGGATGATTTGAAATAATCATCCAAATAGTAATAGTTCATAGAATAGAAATAATAAATCCAAATAGTAATAGAGGATTTTGATTAGAAATAGTGATCCAAATACTTCCCATAGAGGATAGAATAGAAATAGCGATCCAAATAGTAATAAAGGATAAACTAGAAATAACGATCAAAAAAAAAGTCGTCAAAATACTTTCTATATATATGCGTTTCCTCTATGGTCACGTGGTTTAAAAATTCAATATTGGGATCGCCTTCTGTTTTTGTTCACTGGCGATCTATAAAACAAAATTCAAGTGTTTATTTTTTCACTTTTAAACCATATAGGGAACAAAAATAAAACTAATTGGTCTCGAAAAAGGACCTCCAATTTGTGGTTGACTGGGGCAGGAAATGACTTGTAAACTTTAATGCCTCTAAAACGAAACTGGCCTCATTTACCCGCCACAGAGAACCCTCCCTGCCTCCAATCAGAATGTCTTTGTCCAAATCCATGAGAGCGCCTCTCTGCGCCTGCTTGGTCTCACGCTTTCCCCTGACCTGAGATGGAACAATAACATTGAATCAATAGCTTCATCTACCGCAAGGAAAGTTGGTTCTCTGTGCCGCGCCAGAAGGATTTTTCTCGCCCGGGTTCATTCTTCAAATCTGCAAATCATCCATTCGTCCTTGTATTGAATACTGCTGTCATATATGGTCTGCTGACCCCACTGTTCGTCTCGAAATCCTTGACAAAATCAAGAAACGGATGTGATAGGTCCTGATCTGGCATCTTGCCTACAGTCACTTTCTCACAGACGTGCTGTGGCTTCCCTCTGTCTTTTCTACAAATATTTTCATGGCAACTGCTCTGACGAGCTACTTTCACTGGTTCCCAAACTGCATGAATTTAAGCGTGCTACTAGGTTGGCATCTCGGTCCCACCCTTTCACTGTCGAAACGGTTAAATGTAACCGTCTCTTCTACTCCAACAGCTTCTTGTCTCGCACTTCCCGACAGTGGAACTCCCTTCCTCTTACTTGCTTCTCTGATAGCTATAATCTTCAAATATTCAAATGTAATGTTAATCGACATCTGATTCCTTGATCTTCCCCCCCGTCCTTTCTCTTTATCCTTTTTCTAAACACCCCTCTTTACTCTTGCTCTCACTCTCTGTAACCCCACTGCGTGCTAGTGGGACCCACGCCTTGCTTGGGGTGATATGCTTTAAAAAATAAATAAATATTTATTAAATTTTCTTGGTATATCACAATGCAAATCAGGTATGTTTCACCATATTTGGTGCAGTGATATCGTCATGTACAAAGAGCGTACAAAACTGTACTAATGAAGAAAGACCTTACTAATTAACATAGACCATATTTATTAACAAAGGTCACGCTTATTTAAAACGATTTATGTGAATGACCGACTCAAAATTTCTCGACCAGTGATCTCAACATCAATTTTTTTCTTTTCTTTTACTTATCATTACTTTTTAATAAAAGCTTACTCTTTCTACTTTGTTAATATTACATCCCGATAAACAGTAAAATTTTCTAATTGGATACTTTTTTTTTTTTTTTTTAGAACGTGTTTTTTTTTTGTCAAGATATTTGCCTCAGTGGATACATGGGTCATTCTCATTTTCCAGAACGTTTTTATACAATTACTTACAACGCACATCAATCTGTGTACAGTTATTTTATATATTATGCAGGTGTTCAAACAATAGATTTATAC